TGGTTGTGAGGCAATTAGCTTTATATATGTATGTATGTATGTATGTATGTATGTATGTGTGTATATATGTATGTATGTATGCATGTGAGAATGCGTGTTAGAAATGTGAGAAACTTCATTGAATATGACAAGAAAATATAAAGGAATACACGTGCAATCCTGGGTTGATAGCGGATGTAATGAATGCGTCATTTTCTGTCGGACCTTCCGTAGTCGCTGGGTTACGTAATTGAAAAGCTTATTCATTGGCAACTCTGCGCTTGCACTCGGCGTTATTGGCTTCTTTACTTTGGGATTTGAAGTGCCTCAGACAATTCTCACACATTCACTTGCATTTAGACTGCACCATCACGCACAAGTTTTCAGTTCATACAGTCAACCATTACAGGCAAATATGCATCGTTCTCGACTGACGCCAGAGCTCAAACAATCGTGGGTCAGTGGACGGAACTCTCTAAATGTTATTTTTTTAAAATATATATCAACACAAAGACTTGAAAGTGAAACAATCGGAAACGTACTCAACTACACTTGGTGGTTTTCTTGAAGTGATTCACTTATTTTCTCGATCCATGATGAGACAGCATGTGGGAGATATAATTCAAATGCATTTTTATAAATGAATTAACGGAAACAATGCATAGAACAGGTCGTCCCAAGTGACGATTCACATCAAACGGTGAATAACAATACTAGGAGCTGAATTTATTTACGATGTAATAACTTCCGGCAAACTGTTAATTCACTCGCACACACAACAGTGATCGAAGTCAGCCCCAATCAGCAATGCTCTCACATCAAGCAGCTAACACCTCACATTTGCTACCGTGAACAGGAAACGAATTGAATGGAGTATGTGACGTGGCTACAACTACAAAGTTATAACTATCAAATAACTCTCAGTGAAGTAAGTGGAGCGTATTGAATCACTTTCAAGTCCTAAGGGAGATAGAACGTATGATTGGAGACAGTTATAGACGCGTATTGATCATTCGAGCAGCACATAACATTTGTATTTGTATTGTTATGACTTATGCAAGCGAATGTGTTCGTCATGCAGAGTGAAATACTACTACTGCTATTACCACTACTACTACTACTACTACTACTACTACTACTACTACTACTACTACTACTACTACTACTCACTACTACTACTACTACTACTACTACTACTACTACTACTACTACTACTACTACTACTACTGAAATATAACACAAAGAATGTAAAGAATGTCACTGATATTTGCTTAATGTACGAAACTTTTGGCGTAGTTCACTTGTGACCTGTTCCTTTATGGTAACGAATCGGGTCAAGTAGTGTACAGATAAATTTTTTTAAGTGGTAATGCTAGAGAATAGATGCCGAAATGAGGAGCATGTGGACGGATGGGAACGACAAGACGACAGATCAGGGTGCAGTGGATGAAGAGGGTCATCTAGAATCTTATGGGCAAAATCAAAACAAGAGTTGATTTGACCATCAGTGAGCTCTGTGTTCGATGAATCGATCGGAATTGATACTGCACGACTAATGATCATCAAACCACGGCGAAATGTTTTGAATTCTTGTTTTAAACAGGGGAGCAATATAGTAGAATGGATAAAACGCATTGATGAATGAAAGATGACAGGATTGACTATGGGGTTCGGAATTGCCTGAGTTTGCGTAGCTGAAAAGACAGACGCCTCAGATTTCCCGTACAGTTGTAAGTATGTGTAAACCAATGATGATTGGTGTCGACGGTGACGTGATGTATGCAACACGTGTCTGTGATATATCAAAATATACGTTTAATTTGATTGTTTCACTCTACCCCCACGGAGCAGTGTGCCTGTTCAGTTTATTTCAATGTGGTGCAATGTGGTCTTGTTTTAATGCACTTTGACTTGCCTTTCAACGTGCCATTCTAAAAAGCTACCAAACGTTCATGTCTGTGTGTCTGCGTTGACTGATTTAACCTGAGAATAGCAAAACAATTCTACTGTGCGATAGGATTTGAACCAATAGAACTTCAATTGGCGTAACCAGTTATTTAAGCTCTCACCTGTATGTGGCAACCATGCCGGACGATGACCACAATTGCCACAACTGGTATCATTAGAACTGAGACAGCACTCATAAACCAACCGAGTGTTTCGGCCCACGGCGGATAGTCATAAAATTGACTGGTTCCCTGAATACCAATCTCGATAATTTCTGACGTGTTGTGCATCAGTTCGGGGTGGCGTGTTCCGTAGTTGTAACGAAGCGGAGTTGGATCCAGAATGGAACTTACAATCATGACCTAGTTTCAATGAGGGAATCGCAAAGAGACGGGATGGAATGAATGAAGCAATTTTGTTTGTACATATAGTAGCATGATATCGAATAGTGACGCCATTCGCGTGACTTATAAAACAACTTACAGCGTGCTACAAACAAGAGTTTGTCCAATTGAGTAACAAACAACAGTTACTCCGAAGAGGGTGGATTGAATTTTGCCACTCATGAAGGTTTTCCAATTCAGCTTTAATTTGTTACTTTTGTTAGTGTGGTGCTGGTCAAGAGGTTAAGATCATCAACATGTTAACTCAGAAGTCCCGGGTTCAAAACCGCTCCACCGCTGCCCATCTACCCCATTTCTGTTTTGTCCCAGGTAACCTATGTGTGGATGCGATCCGCTTGCCGAAAATTAATTGTACATTTGTATATTAAGTAAATTAAAAAGACGGTTTTCTAATCCCATCCCTACTTCACGCTAACCACAGAACGAGATTCTGCTGGGACAGACCAACAGACGCATAAAGGAAAACACAAACAGAGGGACTACTGTACAGCCACTTCGTTCTTTTCGGTATCATTGTCATTTCAAAATCGATCAATATAATAAAGTTCATTCAAGATACCGGTTGGGAGGTGGTGGCTCATTGGTGGTAAAAGTCACCCAATCATCACCTCGAACGATGTATGTTCAGATCCCAACACCAACTCCCAATTTTCCACTTTTTCTGTGTTGCATGGTAGCCCTCGGATTGACCACTTCGTTCTTCCTGAAAATAATATCATCGTATATGGCATCAAATGAAGCAAAAATGAAAAATGAACAAAATGAAACCCGAAAATCGTCCGTTTTGTTCTACTTCTGATAGGTTTTATTGTTCAGTGAAATGGTACCTTTGAATGACCTATTTGATTTATAACGGACATCCCAAACGATCATATCCGGATGGATCTTAAATCTAAGTACTTGTGGAATTACCTAAATTGGGAATATCGATCGAAACTTGAACCATTTTCAAAATACCTGTTTGGGCCGCAGTAGCATAGCTCTTCTTGCCTTGACCACGAACGTGCCCAAATATGGAAACAGATTTGTTCATCAGAGCCAGTCGCAAAACATGTGAGATACAACTGTTTTGTTGCTGCAATCCTGCGAGTTCTCCTTCATTTGACAGTAGTATTTTACAAAGTGTACAATGTGGCTAATATATCTAAATCAACTCATTGCTTTCTGTGTTGCAAGCAGCGCAGACGAGTGTGCCGGGGACGAAGGGTGAGCGAGGGCACACATGTATGCATATGTTCGAACATTAAATTTGGATTTAAGCGGTATCGCTAAACTGGTAACGCAGTTGTTTTTAATTTGATCAATTGTGTGCCCCGAATGAAACAATTCCGTTATACATCACTCGGTTACTCTCAACTACAATTTTGTTAATTGTTCGGATGAGCATTACCGATGTCCGCGGTCCACCATAAATTAAACACAATTCAGTGGATTTGCCTTTCTGTCCGTCGAGGACAATACTCATTATACCCCACATAAGTAGTTTTCAATGTTTCGTTTAGTTGGACCCCGACCGGGAAGCCTAGAGACACCTACTCTACCTAAAGGCTCTGCATTTCTTCATGCTTCGTCTCTACGTTATCTGCTGACCTCCACGTGGCTTCTCCAGCCTTTAACAGCCACTGTGAATAAGGCGCGCTGCAGTAGGCGACCGCCAGACATACGCAAAACGTGTCCTAACCAACGGAGCCTACTGAGCCGGATTCGATGGGATAGCGAGTTCTTGTTTGATTTATTCCCAAACACCGGACGACTTACTTCCAAGTTACTAACCCGCTCACACCATCTCACTTGGACCAGACTACGTAGGCATCGATTGTCGAATACTGCTAAACTACGAGTGTCTTTTGCCCGTAAATTCAACTTCTCACAACCGTAAAGTATAAGTGATCGTACGGTGGAGCAGTATACGCGACTTTTCAACTTTAGTGACACGTCACGTCGCCGACACAGGTGTTTTAGTCCTGCGTATGCTACTGGGGCTTTGGAAATGCGGGCGCTAATCTCCTTTAATGTGCTATCGTCGTTGGTCACACAGCTACCTAAATAAGAGAAGCAATCAACTTCAGGTGATTTCAGACCGCCTAGTTTCAGAACAAAACTCAGCAACACCAAGTCTTGTAGCATCACTGCACTTTGAAGGTGCAAAGCACATGCCGAACGGAGCGACAGAACTTGCTAATCTGTCAAGTGCCCTTTGTGCATCCTCCATACATTCGAACAAGCAAACGATTTCGTCAGCGTACTTTAAATCACACAGCTTTTCTCCAGTTACCCATGCAATACGTACATTTTGGAGGTCACTTGGTGTGTTCTCCAGTATTTCGTCTATGATGAAATTGAACAGGAATGGCGAAAGAGGGCACCCTTGACAAACACCGCTGCTAGTTATGAACAACCTTTTCAGCTCGCCGTAGACCCTTAGGCTACCAGAAGTATGTGAGTAGAGTGAACTCAGTATATTCACATACTTCTACGGCATTCCTTTGCGAAGGAGTGAACGCATAAATGATTCACGATCAACTGAGTCGAAGGCTTATTTTAGGCCAAGGAACACGACAACCGTTGGTTGACGATGCGTATGGCGTAGCTTGAGGACTGGACACAGGCTTAAGATTTGATCGATACAATCACGACCTGATCAAAATCCTAGCTTGTTGTTCGTGGATGTTTGTCCCTCTAAACGGCGTCAGACGTCGAAGTATAATGAAGGCTAGTAACCTGGTGACGATTGGGATCAAACTTATTCCACGGTAGTTTGCGCAGTCATTGCGAGATCCCTTTTTAAAAATTCGAACGATCAATCATTCGCTCCATGATGATGGAATGCACTCGTGTAATCAGATGTTACGCATTACACCAGTAATGGGGTCTACAAGGTAATCGCCCCAAATTTTGAAATGAATGGGAGGTAGCCTGTCCGGTCCTGATGTTTTTCCTTTCTTAAGGGCTTGAATGCAGGAAAGAACTTCTGCTGCAGTAGAAGATTCAGATGACACTACCCACGGAGCCTCAGCTACATCGGACGAGATAGACTGGTTAGCGCCTGACCAGCTGAACTGTTGGCTGAAATACTCTGCCCACCGGTCAAGCCGTTGTTCCCTACTGTGAATAGCTTGCCTTATTTTATCGCAGATTGTTTCACTAACTGTGGTTCACCGATCTCCTGTAGTGCCTATCAGTTGGAACAGTCTCTGACTACTCCCTGATACAGCTGTTACTTTCATTTCATTTCGTTGCCCACTAGTTCTCACGGTCTTTCTTGAGGCTTCTCGTGGGTTCACGTTGAAGACATCACCTAAACCTGCCATGATCCTGGGTGTTTGGGATTTGCTGCTTTTCCTCCATTAGTGCTACTGAATCCTCAGATATCCAATGCCTCGAGTGGGCTACCGCTTGAGATCCACGAGCAGCGTTCGCTGCGGAGTGCATTGCCCGGCTAATCTGATCCCGTTGTTCATTTACACTACCACCCCGCAGTGCGTTTAGCTCTTGCCCTAGTGTGGTGATCCAGGCCTACACGATGGTGCCTACCCTGGAGCGGCGCGTTACAGTTTCAGGGCATTGGCGATCAATCAAGTTTGAATGCTGACGTCAATAGCACGTGCATAGCTTCTGAATACACGTCATTGATGGATGGTGCCAGCCAATCCTAGACAATGCAGACAGAAGCAAGATTATGCAAGCAGTGCTGCAATCCAATTGGTGGATGCCCAGGTAGCCAATAATCTCCCTTTGTACATATTATTTTATCACCTTTATTTCTTCCAATAAAGGAACTAGTGCTTAATACCATTCCTGTGGCCTTTTCCTCGCGTCTCGTTCTCGTGGGACATTGCTTCTGCGATCCAGTCCGAGATAGCTGATTATCGATTTGGGTCCTGTAATTCATATTGCGTGGTTGGTGTTCCGAATTCCGTGCGTATTACTACTACTACTATTACTACAATCATTACACCTAGTTCTGATTCAAAACGGGCACGAACGGCTAGGTCACATAAGCGATGACCTGCCAATCGAGTTTGGTGGGATTTTCTGCGGCCAGTGAGCTGGAGAATGAACTGTATCAAAACTAACGCATGATCAGATTCAACGCAGGTGATCCAATAGGACCTACAGATTGTATTGAGCCACGCCAACGGTAGCTCGTGGCTATGTGGTTGATCTGAGTTAGCTTGCCAGTTGAATTTGAGCGCCATGTTGCTGTCCGTTGATAGCTGTGTCGGACGTTGGTGCTGGATAGGAACAGATGATGATCTGCGCAGAACTGAAGAAATCGTCTGCCATTATCTGTTCATCGGCAAGGCAGAGCACAATAACCGCCTAAGCAGGCTTCCGATGAGCTCAGATTTCCAACTTGAGCGTTATACTCACCTGCGAGAACAACTACATCGGAGCTTCGGCTGAACCGAATGAGTTCGGTGAGTTTATCATAAAACTCGTCGTTTTGTGCGTCAGAAATGCAGTTGGTCGTTGCTTACGCTGAAATGACGAATAAACACCTTTTGGTGTTGCTTCCCTTCCGGACGCTGATAGACCTTTGGAGCCGCATCGCACATAAGCGGCCGTTGACGGGAATCCAATCCAGTAGTGCGGCTTCGGCTGTATTATTCAGTACAATGCCCACACCACGCTGGCCTACTGAACGGGCTTCGTTATCACCTGACGTGCGGAGGAAGAACCTCGAAGACAACCCCAGTGCACTTCAGTGGCCTTTAGTACTGGGATCCTAGATTCACGTCTCCGATACGCAGCAGACGTCAATCCCCAAAGATTCCATTGTACACATCAGACACGCTTGTTAACCTACTTGCAGCAGAGTCCTCATGTTGAAGGCCCGCAGAGTCAGTGGCTGACGAGGCTTCACAGTATGCAATCTATTTTGTGGTAAACTACTTACCGAGCTACTTGGCAACGAACTTTGGTGAGTGACGAACAAGTTGTTTGAGGGAATGTTA